CACTCACTCTCCAATGTTATGAATATTCTGAGAGGCTATTTTCTACTTTTAAGACTTAAAGCATTTTTGTTCTTATAAATGTGGGGCCAAATATCTTCCTTTTATAGACTTTAGATAAGAGTTGTTTCAGTAATAGTTTGGAAGTGCTGTCAGTGAAGGGCTGTTTTAGCTAAACTTTGATCTCCTGTGGGTCCTAATACAGCATTCTACATGAAGCAAGTGTTTATAAATATTTGTTGAAATTAGCTATCTTAATCTAACTTTAGGTTCTTGATTAATACTGCCATCTAGTGCTGTCTTGGGCAAAATGCTTAATATTAAATACATTGTGAGTAGTAGCAAAAAACTAAATTCTGGATGTTTGTAAGGCCACCAATTAGGTATCCTATTTGAATTTTGTTAGGAAACTTGGTTATTTGATGAATTGTTTTTTATAATGATTTATGATCGACTTTCTTGTAGTGTTGCTATTTTAGTAGTTAAGCCTGAAATTAAGAGCATGCAATAAAAAAAAAAATGAGGGCAGCTGGGTGGCTCAGTGTGTAGAGTGCCGGTCCTGGAGTCAGGATGAGTTCAGATGTGACCTCAGACACTAGCTCTGTGACCCTGGGCAAGTCATTTAATCCTGTTTGTCTCAGCTTCCTCAATTTAAAAGGAGTTGGAGAAGGAAATGGCAAACCACCCCAGTATCTTTGCCAAGAAAACCCTGAATGGAATCATGAAGAGTCAGACTCAACTGAAAAAATGACAGCAGTAAAAAATGAAAATGTTAATTTCAAATTTCATTCAATATTATTTGTTTCCTTTCCTACAGGTGAGATGTCAGGATGATCTTTTGTTTTTAATTAAACTTAATTTTTTCAGTGAACAAATGTCAATTTTTCCTCCTTCCTCTTCCCTCCATTAGAAAAAAAAAAGATAAATAAAACCCCTGTGACAAATATGCAATGTTAAGCAAAACAGTTTACTATTTTGTCCACATCCAAACACACACATATATACATGCATTCGGTACTCTGCGTATATCACTTCTCAGGAGATAGATATCATACATCATTGATGTTCTGGAATTGTGGTTGGCTAGTGTGTTAAGAGTTCCTAAATCTTTTAGAGTTATTTGTTTTTACTGTATCAGTTCATACAAGTCTTCCCGGGTTTCACTGAAACCGTCCCTTTCATTATTTCCTATGGCATGAGTATAATTTATGTTCAGATGCTTCCCATTTGATCAACACCCTTTCAGCTGAGAATGATCCTGGTTACTGCCATGGTCAACTTTTTCACTTTCTTTAAAGTCCATGTAAGTCTTGTGAATTTTAGTACTTGCTTACTAGAATCCCTTAATTCCTCTAAATTTGTTACTTGGGTATTGTATGCCCTTTGTCACATAGGAGGAAGTTGTTATTAATTTCTTGGTTACTAGTCAGTCAGTAAACATTTATTAAGCACCCACTATGTGCCAGGCACTGTATGAAGCTCTGAGGATACAAAAAGAGGCAAAGGACAATCTCTGTCCTTAAGGAGCTCACAGTCTAAAGTGGGGGGGGGGACCAAACACAAAAGGAAGATATGAAGTGTGTGTGGTGGGGAGATGGGAGATGTCAGTCAGAAAAGTCCCAAGGTAGTGCAGCCAAATGAGAAATGAGATATCTGAGCTGAACTCTTTCCTTCAGTGGAGGTTTGTGGAATTCATGGCACCACTCTCCTATCAAAGAGGCAGTAAGTCATGATGAAATGGAGTGCCAAGGCCAATGAGAGCCTGCAGGATGATGAGATTATCCCAATAGTGAGCTTCTTTGGGAATAATGGGGAGGTCAGTCAAACAAATCATGGAGGGGGGAATGGTGCTAGAGGAAAAGACTGTTGTTCACTATTGAGGAAATAAGTTCTATAAAATGAAAATTTCTTAACTTAAAAATGATTCTGAAATAATGTGTTTAATAACAAATAGTTTAGGTTAATTGAAAGGAATGCAACATGAAATATTTCATACTGCATAGCAAAAGATCTGTAGTACATGAGTATAGTAGGGAAAAAAAAGCACCCTCCTAGTTTTGAAGAGGTGTAGGTTCAAGATCAGGCTCTCTCACTATGACAAGTCCCTTTACCTTTATGCATCTTTGTATATTTGTACAGTAGGTGATTTGGACTAATTGCTCTCTCATGGCCTTCGTACCTCTTTCTACCTCCAGTTCCATTGGATTTGGAGTTAAAATTTAAGATTTGAGTAGTCATGAGAGTTTTCTTCAAGTGTTTAGTGGATTGTCACTTTTATTCTAGATTTTCACTACATATTTAATATGCATTCTGGAATTTACTTGAAATTGAAATCAAAATCTCAGGCCTTTAGATTGTAAATTCTAGTAGTCTTTTCCTCTTTGGGAGAAAATCAGGAGATTAGTCCTTCTCCAGTTTTATGGTTTTATCCCCATTCTTTAGTCTCACTGTCAGTGGCTTAAAAATTCCATTTCCCAGTGCTCTCTGTATCCAAGGATATAGTTCATCTAAGCCGGATGACTTGATTTAAATATTTATTTTTAGTTTTCAACATTCACTTCCACAAGATTTTGAGTTCCAGATTTTCTCCTCATCTCATTCCTCCCCCCACCCCAAGACAGTATGCATTTTGAATACCTCTTCCCCTAAACTCTCCTCCCTTCTGTATCTCCCCCTCTTCTCTTATCCCCTTCCCCTTCTATTTTCCTGTAGGGTAGGATAGATTTCTATACTCCATTGTCTGTATATCTTATTTCCCAGTTGCATGTAAAAATGTTTTTTAACATTTGTTTTTAAAACTTTGAGTTCTAAATTCTCTCCCTTCCTCCCTTCCCACCCACCCTCATTGAGAAGGCAAGCAACTCCATACAGGTTATACATGTGTAGTCACGCTGTGGAAAACTAACTATTTCTCTTCAAACTATCCCACCCCCCATTTATTCTATTATCTGTTTTGACCTTGTCCCTCCTCAGAAGTGTTTGCTTCTGATTACCCCCTCCCCCAATCTGCCCTCCCTTGTATCATCCCCGTTCTCCTATCCCTTTCCCCCTTATTTTCCTGTCAGGTAAGATAGATTTCCATACCTAGTTGAGTGTATATGTTATTCTCTCCTTAAGCCAAATCTGATGAGAATAAGATTCACTCATTCCCTCTCACCTTCCCCTACTTCCCCTCTACTGTAAAAGATTTTTCTTGTCTGTTTTATGTGAAATAATTTACCCCATTCTACCTCTTTCTTTCTCCTCCCAGTATAATCCTCTCACCCCTTAATTTTATTTTTAGATATTACCCTTTCATCTTCAACTTACCCTGTGCCATCTATCTATCTGTCTATCTGTTTATCTATCTACATGTATTTTTTCCCTCCAACTACCCTAATACTGACAAAGGTCTCATGAGTTACAAATATCATCTTTCCATGTTAGAATGTAAACAGTTCAACTTTAATAAGTTCCGTATGATTTCTCTTTACTGTTTACCTTTTCATGCTTCTCTTGAGTCTTGTATTTGAAAGTCACATTTTCTATTCAGCTCTGGTATTTTCATCAAGAATGCTTGACAGTCCTCTATTTCACTGAATGTCCATTTTTTCCCTTGAAGGATTATACTCAATTTTACTGGGTAGGTGATTCTTGGTTGTAATTCTATCTCCTTTGCCCTCTGGAATATCATATTCCA